AGAATTTACAGAAAATGTTACATTTTTGTGATTTATATTGTTATCGGGACGATAGAATTCTTATATCGGGATATGAGATTTTGGTCATATCGCACAGCCCTACTACTCTGCTACATATGCTGCTGAGAATATAAACAGTACATTTCTAACATAGTATTTTGACTTGATTCTTATTCCTCTGCGTTTTATTTACTACGTGTCATTGTGGCAGCTTTATCTGTTTTACATTTATGCTTTACTATCAAGGGAGATGATAGATTGTATTATTTTTTTAGTACATTGTCTGCCATCTGACCATGGTAGTTTATGTGGCTTAAAAAATGAAGTCTGTGTATGTGTACGCGTGTCTGCGCTCTCAGATAAAAAGGCCTTTCTTTCCTCTGCTGCCTTTCGCCGTAGAGCTGCTTTTACTGCAGTTAGGTCTGGAATGTGACTTTCCTGCTGAGCTGTATCATGGCAAGCGTGCTCAATAGAAATTTCTGTGTTGCGCTATCTCACTTTTATGTATTTGGAGTTGTAAGATTTTTCATTCTTATGAAGCCTTTCTGTCGTTATTTTGTGTGCTTCTGTAAGGTACAAAAACAGTATTTGCTGCCAAGTTTTACGATAGTATTGATTTTTATAACGAGACATTTCCTCTGTACACTGTACATACTGTACTGTGTACTGTCTCCAATCTTAGTGATGCTTTCTGTCCTCGGGGCATTGCCATTGAGCTGAGTGAGTGGCTGCCAGTCAGGGCTCATCTTTCAGTTCTAATAGCACAGAAGCTGTTGGATAGTGGAATGGATTGACTGATTGATTACATTTAATAACAAAGAGAGAAACAAAAAAACACGACTCAATCCATTTGTGTAGTGTCCTGTCAAATATCTCAAATGTTTGCTATTAGCCATGCAAGTTCATACATTATTTGTCACTTGAACAAGGTTTCCTCAAAAAAAAACAAAAAAAAAACCTCTAGGATTTATTGATTTTAATATAAAAGTAAAATTAAAATTGGATAAAACAACACTTCACAAATACAAACAATAATCCTAACATCAGGTAGAATACAGATAATCGTTCTACCATATTCCCTTTAAAATGTTTATTTCTATCGCATATCTTAAAATATCTTTAAAACAATTTGTTTTTCCCGGGCAACAAAATTGTACTTAAGACTTACTTATGCAAGTCTGTCTGACCAACACTGCACAGTAACATAGCTGAACAACTTCTCCACCCCTCAGTGTCCTCACACTCCTACTACACCCTATTCTGTTATTTTCTAAGTGATGCAGCTGTCGCCTGTTTACAGCAGGTACTAAACAGCAACCAGGCAACTCACGAGGAACTTGTAAAACAATCCCAGACAAATTACACTGGCTCCCCATTCATTACAAAATAAGATTTTATTGATTGCTTTTAAATAACTACATGGGGCGTCTCTCATTTTTATCGCAGAGCTCTTAACCCTTTAATCCTCCGTTTAAAAAAGGTTTTAGAAACCTCCCATACAGACCAGCTTTATTAGACCTGGTGTTGCAAATTTGCAAACCTGGTTTGAAAGCTGATGTAGAAGTAAATATACTTTTTATCAGCACTGTGCTAACAAGTTAAGCCATTCGAAAATTGCCATCTTCTGTTAAACAAAGCTTTGAAAGTGGTATTTAATTCAAAGTCATTCAGTGGACAAGAGTTGATGTCCTGTTTAAAAGCTGTGTACTAAGTGGTTCGACCTCACTTGCAGAAAACTGACTTTGTTTTGTGTTTTACAGGCACCGCCGTCTATGGTCAGCACAGAGCAGAGACAGCATGCTGAACATGTATTCCTCTCCTTCAGGAAGTCCAAGTCCCCCTTTGCCATTTGCAAGCACATCTTGGGTAAGCATTGTATTTAATATTTTAACTTGCATATTGTTTTATAAATATGATTTTATCTTATAAAGGCTACTCGGTGTCTTCTCCCCTTCATGTTTTTTTTTCCTGTCATAAACCTTCACTTGTGGTGTTTGTGGGTATGACCCAGACATTTTAGTGTTGTGGAGTCTCATGTGTACAGAATATTATTATTGTTTGATTTGTGACTTTATGTACTGTATGAAAACATGTGAGCTGTGCAGCTTTGAAAACAAAATATGAGTATTCATTGGCTTTTTATCACAAACCCCATCAACACAGATATGTGGACATTGTGTTAACTGTACACTTTTACTGATTTGAACCTAATTTTTGATTGCTAATGGTACAGAGTCCACAGTAAATTTCGTGGCAATAACAGGTTGAAAAAATTGTCTGTGTTGTCTCATGTTTTAAGAAAACCCCATGTGTAACTGACTACCAAGTCATGGTTACATAATTGCCTATAGAAAGTGTCTCTCACAAATATGAATGGAGAAAGTTCCCCATTGTGTGAGCAGCTGCATAGTTCGACAATTAAAATGTACACGTTAAAAAAAAAAATCTAGTCCTGAATAGACGCTGGGATGGCATTGCGTTGAAAGCAAACCTGATTTTGTGGTTAAAAATGACTGTATGGGCTCAGGATGACGCCGGACAGCTACCGCTGGTGAGCACTGTTCACCGATGCATCAGTAACGCAGTTACATTTTTCATGTTATTGGTGGACCTTTATCTATTAACATCCTCCTGAGCTCAGTGCAAGGGAGACTGGGCTAAAGATCAATCAAAAACTGAAATTTGAAACTTTCTGAAAATATTTGAGGCTAAAGAGGAGAAACTTGCATCTTGGTCACAGTCAGTCACATGGAAGCAACTTAGGCTACGTTCACACTGCAGGTCTTAATGCTCAATTCCGATTTTTTTGATCAAATCCGATTTTTTTGGCTGCTTGTTCACACTACAAATAAAATGTGACAGCAAACGCGCTCTAGTGTGAACGCTCAAAGTGGCCCGCATGCGCAGAAGAAGACGTCACACACAACGCGCTCTGTTTAGACCCAGAGCAAACAGTATTGTTTGACTGATGGCCCTTAATATAAAGACTCGTTTCGGACTTCACGTTTCCCAGTTTTGCTTTAAGTTATTTTGTTATTTACATATGACCTAATAATTATCCTTATTGCTGTTTTAGAGGAGCGGTGCTTCAAAGGATAGTTGCAGATTTCTGTCAGAATCTGCAGATTATACAGTACAAATAAAATGTTCACGTTTCTCCAACGTTGTCTTCCAAACAGTTTCACTGACATCTACACTGGATGACCAGGAAGCGTTCGCAATGTCTTCTCCAGCGCTGATAATTGGCGTCTGTCTTGTGTCAGTGATGTAAAAGACGGATTTAATGCGACATGACATGAACTTTATAACTTAAAGCAAAATTGGGAAACGTAAAGTCCGAAACAAGTCTTTATATTAACGGCCAACAATACTGTTTGCTCTGGGTCTAAACAGAGCGCGTTGTGTGTGACGTCTTCTTTTGCGCATGCGGGCGCTTTGAGCGTTCACACCAGAGCGCGTTTGCTGTCACATTTTATTTGTAGTGTGAACACGCAGACAAAAAATATTGGAATTGAGCATTAAGACTTGCAGTGTGAACGTAGCCTCAGTGTATTTAGACATGGTCAAGATGACATGCTGAAGTTAACACCAGGCATCAAAATGGGGAAGAGAATTTGTAACTTTGATCATGACGTGATTGTTGGTGCCATCTGGACATCTCTTTAAGGAAAGACTACCTATTTCAGCAAGATGATACCGAAACACATTATGAATGAAGTTCACCACCGTGACTTTGTAGTGAGAGCCTGCTAGACTGGCATGTCCATACAGTCGTTTTTTTTGTTTCAGTGTTTTCAGTGTTTAACCCATTATTTTCAACTTTTTTCCCCCCCACTATCTTTTTTACTTCTAATATTTCTCTTTTGTCCCTTTATTTTTCCCCTCTCCAGAGACCAGTAAGGTGGACTATGTGCTTTTCCAGGCAGCCACAGCCATCATGGAGGCTGTCGTGCGGGAGTGGATCCTGCTGGAAAAGACCAGCATTGAGTCACTCCGGGCGTTCCTTCTCACCTACGTTTTGCAGAGACCCAAGTAAGAAACAATAATAAATGCATTACAAAACCTTTGTGGTTTACTGTATTATTAAATATGTCGAGCTTTTACAGACCTCACTACAAAAATGCCAGTAGAACTTAATGTTTTGGATGCAGGAAAAATAAATCAGAATGCCTTGCTGTTCCTTCTAGTCTGCAGAAGTATGTGCGTGAGCAGATCCTGCTAGCTGTGGCGGTCATCGTGAAGAGAGGCTCGCTGGACAAAAGCATCAACTGTAAAAGCATCTTACTCGAGGTCGGACAGCTCATCAGCAGCGGGAACCCTGCAGTGGTGAGAGAGACGCAGCTGAATAATACATGAGTAGCTCTCAGTGGCCTAAAGAGTACGTGTTGTTAGTTACAATGTACACAAAATCAATCATCATCATCAGGTTAATCAAGAGAGGGAAAAAAGTTTTTTGTCTTTGTTTGTTTATTTTTAAATATGAGGATTTTTAGGTTGATTTACTGCCTGGGATTCATCATGCATTTGCACAGATAAATTGAAAAGAAACAACAGTTGAGACATTATGGCTCCAAGACTTCACATTTATATGCTGTCAGAATAATTAATTAATTGTCCAAAAAGATGCAAATGATGTGCACAATCAATGGAAAGCATTGAGTAACTTCTTGTTAGTAAAACTCGAGCTTTGATTCATATCTGTTTTATTTGGGGCTCGGTGAGCCTCACTGGCTCCCTGGTTCAGATCTGGCTCAGATTACAGCGCAGTTGGAAAACAAAAAAAAGAGAGAGAAAGAAATGGCACAAACGCTATGTTGAGAAAGCAGCTTCAGGCATGTTCTTGCGGTTAAAAGAAAGGACATCGAGGACCTGTGCTTTGATTATTATGAGAGAAAAAAGGGAAAAAAAAACATGTCAATTAATGCTAGAGTACTTGTGCGCCTTACCACATTTGCTCCATAAATGCAAAATAATTGTCTCCCATATGTAAAAAATCTAATCATATGACTTCAGCATGCTGCTCTGAAAAGAAAAAATCATCCTAATCCAGTAGGTGGCACTACTTCATTTGTTTCTCATACGAGAAGGCAACTATGTTGTGTAAAGGGCTAAAAGTGTGCTTTTTTCCCTACAAATCAGACTGAATTTTACTGATCATGCACAAAATTATTTGTTGTTACTGAAATCCCCCAAATGGTCACCTTCTAATGACACCACATTCCCCCAGTCTTTTGAATCTGGCCCTAAAGCCCTTTTTTGGTTATGACGTCTTCGTCAGACGTTGAAGTTGAAACACTGTAAAATGTCAATAAAAACTGAATCTAATAAACCAATATTTTATTCACAAGGGAGCACAGAATAAGGATGGGACAGGACCATGTTTCTCACAGCAGCAACATTGTGTAAACATCTGGGAACTGACCCACTGCTGGACCTCTGGGAGAAGAATGCTGTCCCATTCTTGTCTGATAAAGGATCGTAGCTGTTCACAGTCCTGGCTCTTTGATGTATTTTTCATTGAATTATGTGCCAAATTGTTTTTATAATTGGTAAAAGGTCTGCACAGGCCACTTCTGAACTCTTCCACTGTGAAGCCATGCTCTTGTTATAGATGCAGTATGTGGTTTAGGAAATATTCAAGGCCTTCCCTGAAAAAGGCCTCATCTCAATGGGAGCATATGCTGCTCTAAAACCTCGGGATACCTTTCAGCACTGATGCACTGGTGCATGCTGCTAATTCCATAGCCACCAGTGCACCCACATACCATCAGAGTTGCAGGCTTTCGAACTATGTGCTGATAACAAGCTGGATGGTTCCTCTCCTCTTTAGTTCAGAGGATGTGGCATCCATGTTTTTAAAAAAAATTCAAATTTTGATTTCTCTGACCGCAGAACAGTTTTCCACTCTTCTTCAGTTCATTTTAAATGGAGAGAAGTTGGCAGCATTTGTGGATCATGTTTACATATGGCTTCTTCTTTGCATGATCGAGGTTTAAGCTGCATTTGTGGATGGCACAGTGAGCTGTGCTCACAAACAGGGATTTCTGGAAGTGATCTGAGCCCATGCAGTCTTTTCCATGACCGAATCATGCCCGCCTTTTATGCAGTGCCGCCTGAGGACCCAAAGATCACAGGCATCAAGTGTTGATATTTGGCCTTGTCCTTTGCACGCAGAGATTTCTCCAGATTTTTGGAATCTTTTAATATTATCTTCACAAGTTTACCTCAAGGACTTTCTTTCATAAACTATTCCACTGTTTGTAGTGGGAGTTGCAGACTGGTAAACCTTTACGTCTGAGACACTCTGCCTCCCTAAGATTCTCTTTTTATACCTAATCATGTTATTGACCTGTTGCCAGTTTACCTAATTAGCTGCCAAATAATCCCCCAGCTGTTTCTCTTTGGTACCACTTTTGCTGCCCGATTCCAACTTTTTTTGAGAGCTTTTGTTACCATCAAATTCGAAATGAGCTAATATTTTTTTAAACTCAGTTTAATCATTTTCTGTGCTCTATTGTGAATAAAAGGTGAGCTTATGAGAATTGCAAATCATTGCTGTTTTTATTTACATTTTACAGCGTCCTAATTTTTTTTAAATTGAAATTTGTACAGTGTTTTAAATATTGAATTTCAAAATCAATAATTAGTTGTTGAGACATATTAATCAAGCAACTCTTATTCAGATTCTTTTTTTTTTTTTTAATCATTGTTTGTCTTTTGGATGAACAAGACATTTAAGGATATAATGGGTTGATTTGTCCGTTTTATATCCAGTGGTGACTGGATATCTTCTTGCTGGTCCATAGACAAGCTCATACAAAAGGCAAAACAAAGTGTTTTCTAATTTTTTGTTTTCTCTGCTGTGCAGTTAGTGCTCCTGTTACCAACCACAACTTGTTTTTGTTTCTCTTCTTCTCCAATTTGTGTATCGCGGGACATTCATCAATAGCGCGCTCTAAAACATATACACTTACGGATGTTTTACACTGTTAAAGTTGCAGTTTCTCATAATAAACATGTCCTCAGTTTTAAACAATGAGCTCAGTGTGTATACATGTAATTCCTGTAAACCAAAGCTCAGGCTTCAGATAGGATGCTGCGCTTTGGCTGTCGGCAAAGCTTCTCCAACCACTTCTAAAATCTTTTGTTTGAAAAGTGCAGCCAATCAGAAGACAGGTGCTTTATTTGGAGCGGTGAGCTGCATTAAGAATAAGGAAACTGTAAATCATGTAAAGTTACTCTACTAGACTCCAAGAATAAAAAAGTGTAGATGGGGATAACTGTAACATGTGCCCTTTAATCATCTGTGTTTGCAGTTAGCAGACGGTCTTTTCACGTGAGGCCTCAAGAGGTTTCCTTCTTTCCGGCTTGTGACAAACAATCTTCGAAAAAGATGGATGTTAGTGTAACTTTTTATGTAACCATTGACCTCCACAATCATACAATCATTCTCTTCTGCAGCAAACGCTGGCCTGCTCCATCCTGACCGCTCTGCTCAGTGAGTTCTCCAGCTCCAGTAAGACCAGCAGCATCGGCCTCAGCATGGAGTTCCACGGTAACTGCAAGCGACTGTTCCAGGTTTGTCCCCCGCTGTCCCACCTGTCCTCTACGCTCTCCTGACGTATTCACTTTATTGCTCTTTAACTCATGCATCCATCTGTTCTTCCATCCACTTCTTCTAGGAGGACGGCCTCCGCCAGATCTTCATGATGACCATGGAGGTGCTGCAGGAGTTCAGCCGCCGAGAAAACCTCAATGCCCAGATGTCTTCTGTCTTCCAGCGCTACTTGGCTTTGGCCAATCACGTCCTCAGCTGGAACTTCCTGCCTCCCAATTATATCCTTTCTTTCTAAGAGACCAAGAGGTTTGATGCGAGGCTGGAAAGTCCACAATCAAAAAATTGACACATGAAGGTCAGGGGGAAAAAAACAGGCCCATCCAGCTACACTATTGAGCTTACAGTCAAAGTACACTCTTTGTTTTGTGTCTTTGGTAACCTCGTTACATGTTTGATAGGATGGAGTAATAAGGTCTAGGAAGTCATATTTGTAGTGTTGATCATCACTTCAGCTGGTTATGATAATATTCAACAATTTATGTCAGTTTATGAGCTGAAATCTGAAAACATTGTTAGGTTAAAAGTTAAACAGTATTACGATGTTATATATAAAAAGTGTGTGTGTGTTTACGTGGTTGTCTGCTTTGTTTTTTGCAGACCTTCCCTCTTTTATTTTATTTACCCAAATATTTTTAGTTGACTTTGTTTTCAA